TTGGTTTCAGTTTGTATGGAAAAATGAGCAAAAACACTGATTTTTGGTCATTTTCAAAGGCCTCCCTACAGGTCCATAGGGGATCTAGGGGGTCGAGGGAGGGTTTATTAAARAGTTCGATCCTTCCTCTTTCCAATAAGGGGTGGGGATAGCGCGACCCTGTTTTTCTCCATAAACGATACTTAACCGGCGCGATACTAAACATTCCCCTAAGAAAATCTTAAGTATAACATACATAATAAGAAATTTAACTTCTACCGATATACATATGTATATTCAGAAAAATTTAAACATTACGATGTTGATCGATGAATATCAAAAGTTTTACACAATAACTATGTAAGTTCTTACATGCAATTAGTTTGTTGTAAAATGTTTTATGAGTACGGTTTTCATATATTTTTCAGATTCCATAAATTTGTATTGAGAGCATGGTACAAGGTACAAGGTCCTTTACGATAATTGAGAGTACTTTTTATTATTTGCATAAGAGCACATATATACAAACGTATAAGTTTCAGACTGAAAATTACACTAAACTGTTCATAAGCTTCTAATTATGTTTATTGAAAATAATTAACGAAATACATTGTATACTGTTAAAGGGAGCTTTTTAGATTTTGTAATCAATCTTATCACGTCAGGTGTCAATTATAGAGTTTAGCGACGACGATTTCCTCCACCACCCGCTAATATTGTTGCAATTCGAACAAATATATTTATCGTATCCATGTAAATCGACAGACATCTATAAACAATATTGCTTTAAAATAAAACCCTTTCATTTTATATTTCAGGTAGTAAATACTCACGCATTTATAGGATCATATGGCTTTACAAAAATTTGTGGGTGGTTCTCCGCATATCGTACTATACGTTGTGTGTCATAAAGTAAAAACCCTCCGAAAAGGATTAATCCACCATAAAGGGACATCGATGCCAAACCTAAACCAAATACATTTATTTTCTTTTTTTCGAAAATTTTTGAAAATTTTTACATACCAGCTCCTAAAGCTGTTGTCGGCGGTAGCCACATTGATGCCAGGGATGATGCGAACACCAATCCAAGGCCTACTGCCAAAGGACCGCCCATATATAAAAATTTGTCACTCGGTGCACAAACTGCTACTGTCGAAAGTCCTCCTACAATGCCTGCGGTGTATAAAGCTGCCCTAGTAAGGATCGGTCCACCAAGGAAACACATTGGTGCAACAACAGCACCTAAAACAGCACAGTGCAAAGCCCAGGCTATTTGTTTCGGGCCAACACCGGGTTGGTATTCGATAGATTGGGTTAGAGCACCGGTACCGATCATAAGAGCAAATGTGCCTAACATGGACTAATATATATCGTTTAAAATTTTCCATTATTTATAAATACAAATTGCTAATATTATAAAACTAACCATCCATCCACTCCTTGTTACTAGTGAAAGCAGTCGAGGTGAACGAAATACTGCCATGGCTGCACCTGCAGTAATAGCGCAGGATGCACCAAAGTATCCGTAGGTTGCGTGAATTCGATCTCGAACGAACTCCGGCCATAACCTTGAAAAAAAAATACATATAAAATATAGCTATATAATTATTCCTATTTTATATCTTACATTGAGTTAGTGTATATACTTGGATCTTTATTTAATCCAAGACCATAGAAACATAACGCTCCAAGTCCAATTGCTGATGCACCGGCAGCTGCTCCCTTTCCAATAGAGTATGCTAAAAATATATAAAATACAGTTTACCAATTGTTAAGAGTGTTAGTGTTTAACATTGTTCTACCATTTTCTGAAGGAGGACCCATCAGTTTTTCCTTTAATGTTGGTGCCCGTCCGGTTTCGCTTCGAGTATATGGACCGCGAGTTGGACCTCGAGCATAACTCCTCGATATATTTAAGTTATAAGATTTTAAGGAATTTGGAAGACGCGATTCTAACGGACCACATCTTATTACATTGGACAGTGCCACTGTTTTTAATCCAGCCCGAACGGGCATAGTAGATAATGCAAAACGTAACAACATTTTTATATGATGAAATTTATTTGCTGATGAGGAAACTGAATTCGCAATTCCCTTACAATAATCAGTTCGCACTAAAATACAAGAAAAATTTTTAAAATTGTACTATTTGAAGGATGTGAATAAATTACGTTTTATCTGACAAAGCTGTTTAACAAATATTTTTTAGAATTTTCTCGATAGTATCTGATTTTATTTGGTGAAATTTCGTAAATTTTGACAATTCGAATTATTTATTATAGATGACACAATCGATAAATATATCGTTCCCAATGGTTTTAAAATTTGACAATAAAATGTCAATTTTAGTCAATGTACATAGGAATAAATAATAATGATATTTGAAATATTATATATTATTATTTTTGTTTATAATATTTGAATTTCATAGAAAAATTCATCAAATAAAGTTATTGAATATCTAGGCATACTGGAATACATTAATCGTATTTAATTATTGAACAACTATCGTGAATGTGATATCGAAAAAGAACAATATTGATCAGAGAAAAAACAATTTTTTGGAGTTAAAGTATTTTAATTTTTTTTTAATATAAAAGATGCAAACATATGAGAAAGTAACATTAAATTTCTTAAAATGTGGAGAAATTAAAACATTATGGGGTTGAAGGAAAAGGAAATGTTTACTTAAATTGTGATTTCTGTGATTATATTGTTTTGCAATTAGATATTTTTGTAATTCATGTAAACACTAAACATAAAAGTAAATCTCATAATATATCTGGTATCCAATAAGCAACTAAGATCAGATTTTTAAACAGGAAATTGAAGATCCTTTGCAAGCACACATTCATGTTGATGACGAAATATCAACTTTTATAACGGATGATTGAGTACAAGCATTTCTATAGAAGGTGACCATAGTTCAGAAAATTATGGTACTGAGAGCATTGTGGAATTTGTAAGTAAAGTAAATTGCACAATGTAATAAATTATACAAAATATGAAAAAGAATAAATGAACTTTTAGAAGAATTACATCTGGGTTTGAACAAAAATCGAAAAAAAAACGCGAGGAAGATTTAAAAGATATTACAACCAATGTTAATCGCGCCTGTCAATCAAACTTTGACTGGAAAATGATAAGTTTCCAAATACGAAATATGCGCTGTGAGATTCGAGCCAAAATTTAGCGGAATCTAGAAGAAAAATTCATAATCGTCCTTGGTACTTTGACAAGGTGCCATTCTGACATAACAGTATTCACCATAAGAATTGTAGAAATTGAGTAAGCAGTATTTGCAAAGAAGACTATTTTGGAATTTATAATCATGACTTGTAATTAAATTTTTTCTATTTTGCTTAGGTACCTAAAATTATTTCCAATGAAAAACCGGTTCTGCCTTTTTCCGATATCAGGGATGAATAGAACTTGGTCTTAATCCAAATATATAGTAGTTTTCCGAACCTTTGGAAAACCCAACATATTAACCATTGCTTTAGGAACCGACGACTAAAATCTATTATGAAAATGCAGGATATTTTGAAAGCAAAAATAGGTTTAGGTTTTTCGTTGGATGAATTGCAGAAAAGAATACATGGAATACGTTACGACTGCATACAGAAACGTCGTAAATTGCAATGCGACTTAACAACTGAGACTTTCAAACCAATTTGTAAACTATAATAAAATTAAATTCTTGGAAGATAATGTCGGACCATGTGAAGAAATTCTAAATGGCTACGACAGGTATTGAATACATCCGGCTGCATATACTGGTTCCCTGCCATTTATATGCCCCATGTGTAATCTCGGTTTTTTTTTGACAGTGGGTAATTTTACAGCGGCGACACACAGGTGAACACGAGTTCGAATGCAATGTGTGGAAAAAAAAGTATGTGACATCGACTTATTTAAATGTGCATATGCACGCTGGAGAGAAACTATATTGTTGTCATATCGTTGATGGAGTTTTTTCGATACCCAATGGGGATTAGAAACGTCCTAATTATAAATGCAACATGCATATGCCCAAAAACATTCTACGAAAAACGCAAATTAAATTTGGACATGAAGGCACATTTGAATATTCGAGAGAAGATTTGTAATGTTTGTGGAAAAACTTTCAGAGGAAAAGAAATATATTTGTAGAAAATGTGGGAAAAATTTTGACCAATATGCCGGTTGTTGTTGTTGTTGTTGTAGCGGCAGAATTCTGCCGAGTTGACAGTCCTTGGCCGGATAAAAATCCGGATCCGTTCCGGTTTTCGTAGACCCGACTGTCGTGGGAACGACCCAATATGCCGGTCTTAGTGGACTTTTGAAATCTCATGGCGCTTCATTGGTAAATACCCTTGGTAATATATAATAAATAAGTAAATAACAAAGATTATGGGTAATTAATTTAACAAAAGTTAGGTTTTGATAATTGTACGTATTTTTGAAATTCGATAATCATTCTCTATTTTAGATGCTCTAATGAGTCGTTAAAATAATCGATAAAATATTTTGTACTCAAATTGTCATATCTAGCATAGACGTTGTAAACATATGTAAATAACATATTTGTGTTAATATATGTATATAGATTCGATATTTGATTTGTGATATTATTTTTAATTTGTTTGGTTGATCACTGGAAGTATGGATATTTCTGTTCAGAAGTGTGGTGAGGTCACCACTTGCTTAAAAGAGCGAAAAAGAGAGTATTTCCTCAATTGCATATTTTGTGACGGAATGTTTGTAACTTTAGATAAATTCGGAAAACATTTGGAATACGTACATTTGCATTCGTCAGATGGATATGATCAGGAATTGTTAGAGGATTATAAAATAAAAGAAGAAATAATTTCTCCGATGGACGCTGATCCGGAAGAGGTTGTTAATGTTACACTTATACTTTATTTTCAAATGCTATACAAATTTCTTTATTACACAGAAAAATGTTATTATTAATATAGAAGTTCAGGGAATTTCACAAGGGAAAACTGAAGAAATAGAAAATATAATTGGAATTCAGGAAAATGTCACAGACTTATTTGAATTGAGGGAAAATCACGTTAGTATCTATATTGCGTGCAAAATAATTAAATTTTAGATTCACAAAATTAAAATATATTAACATAGGTAAACTGCAAATATGAAGTAAACTATAACGATATTTACGAACAAACTGACGATCAATTAAGCGACACTGAAAAACACTGGGTATGTTAAATATGAATAAAGCGCTACTATTTCAGAAAAATTAAAAAAAAGAAAATGTTTTTGTTTTAGCCGAGCGACCCGTTGAAAATGTTTGATAAGGAAACCATGAAGACGATATTTTCAAATTTTGAGAATCATTCTATATTGTGGGACAGAGAAGATCCAACATCAAAAAACATTCATTTACGTTCGATTGCATATAAAAGTTTAGCATCAGATGTAGGAAAGTTAAGTCAGTGGAAGAAAGTAAGAGATTTGATTCGAAAACTTAACTACCGGCTTAGACATGAGATCCAGAGAAAACGAAATTCCATGGCATTGGATGAGGACTATATTCCCCCGTGGTTAAACGACATTGACACTTTTCTCAGAATTAGGAAGGAGGTATTGCTGTCAACGAATAATATGCTAATTACTAAAATTTAAATAATTTTTGATTTCCTAGAACAAGAAACCTGTCGTACCTCCAAGTATACTCACAGAACCACAACGAAAAGCATTTATAAAATGCTATAAGGGATTTACATGTCTTTGGAATGAAATTGATATTGATTATCGATTACCAAATAAGCGAGAAGAAGCAATGATTGAAATAGAAAATTTGCTCCGAAATCACGACATTTTTCTGACACAATCGCAAATAGAGCAGGAAATTGCTCGAATGAGGAAAATTTGTTGGCAAGAGAAAAAAAGAAAGCTAAAATGTGAAGAATTAAATAATCCATACGTACCTCATTATGCCACCTATGAACACATCCGTTTCCTTGAAATAGATGTTGGTCCATTTAGGTGTGATATATGTAATGATATCCTTCCTGGACTCAATAAATACAAAATGCATATATCCAAACATGATGGAATAAAACCTTTCACCTGTCCTCTATGCGGTAATAGCTTTACTACTGTACATAGCTTAAATATTCATATGAATCGACACACGGGAGATTACAAATATATGTGTAAATATTGTGAGAAAAGTTTTCCTGCTTTATCAGAGTTAAATGTTCATGAACGTAGTCATACCGGAGAAAGGCCATACTTTTGTGATCAATGTGGAAAAACATTTCGTGTATGGGTATATTATGATTCACATTTAAGGCGCCATCAAAATCGACCGGGGTATAAATGCAACATTTGCTCGAAAGATTTCTTTGGCGCCCATCATTTAAATGAGCACATGAGTATTCATCGCAAAGAACGAGATCAAGTGTGTAATGTATGTGGGAAGGCTTTTAAAATGGCAAAATACCTTAGGCAACACAAACAAATTCATTCTGCTAATAAAAGATACATTTGCAAAATTTGTCATAAAGCCTTTGCCCAATATGCCGGCCTAAGCGGACATATGAAAACTCATGGTACCACTCTTGTAGGCCATAATAACAGAATTAACACTACTGGAGATGATAGCAAAGAAATGTTATAGTAAGTGGTATTAGATATCTAAATACAGTATGACATATTTGAAAAAAGTATAATAAACGTATTTAAAATCACATTGGTCTTTTAATTTATTAGAAAATATCGTGTCAATCCTCTGGTCATTGAGTTTTTCGCGTCACTAGGATTACTACTACTTTAAAACCGGTAGGCCTTTACCATTACACTCATTCATTCCGAACATACATTTACAACTACTCAGCAACCCCTTTTTGTGCTTTTGCTGCATTAGTTTTTTTCGGCGTTTTTTCTTGGTTTTCCACTTTGTTTAACGCTAACGTCTGTCAAACGTCATTCCGTCACCCGCACACAAACAATGGAAGACACCGAAGTTGAAGAAATTAAAAATCTTGTAAGTTTTCTTCAAAAAAATTGAATAAAACTGAAGTTTTTTAATGATTGTGAAACTAATTGCAATTGCAAGGACAAGATGAAAGGCCAACATGTTGGCTCATAATGTGTTACGGTCAATAGAGTCAAATACAAGCAGCTGAATATATAGATAATTTTCGCATCGCAAATCATGAATAAAATAATCAATATAATTAAAAAGAAAAAAAAAACAAAACTAAAAAACCAAAACGAGTAAAGCTACTATAAAATAATTTGAGTTCACATTCTGAAATAAATACATATATATTTATACATATATATAAGTTATTCACATTGTTTTAACGATTGCACTCAAGATGTGATATAAATTTACTTCTTTTCATCAGCGGTAATCGGTATATGCTATGGCAAAAATCAATATGTAAAAATTGGCGCCCGTTCCACAATTGCCGTTGTCTGCAAAATTAAATTAAATTGTCATTGCTTTTCTTTTTTTCAGCAAACCGAATTTGAGTGGGTTATGCGTGACGAAGTTCACGCCATACTTAAGAAACTACGAGAGATTCTAGTGGTAAGAAATTTTTATCTTTGATTCTTTAATAGTGGGCAAAACGCTTTAAAAACAAAGAACTTGTTTTTGAGGTTTAAGTTATAAAGGAAAGTTAAAAAAGAAAAACATTAGTGCATATGAAGTATGACATTATATACCTAAATATGATTAATACATTTATCTAACGTGACAGGAGTGCGCAAGACGATTTCCGGTACCATGTTTTCCAGACAACGAGGGTAAACGTACTGAAAAGTTTGTGTTAATGGCTGCACAGGATCAGTTAAAGTGTTCCGTCACACTCACTGGCGACAGCATAACTCAAGCTGTAATTTTGATAATATTTTGAAAATTAACTCGCCAGTACGAAATAATTTGTGTATTTTCAAGGATATTAGTTACAAATTGAAACGTGCATCCAGCCAAGTGCAACGTACGTCCATAACACCGGATGCGCCATGGAAACTTCAACAGGTGCAAGATGCTGCAAATCATCTACAACAAGCTATCAATCATATTGATAATGTTGACGGCAATTATGCATTCAAGTACGTTTAAACAATATTATATATGTACATATATCCATAAATAATTTATATTTTACGTATTATTTCCAAAATAGAATCAAGAATAAGAATATTTTTAATATTGCTCCTGGACAGTAATTTTCCTTTTTTTTTTTTTGTAGATCTCGCGAAGAAGTGCTTCAAATAATCGGCGAATTGATAGGAGCTCTGCAGCGTGGTCGAACTAGTCTAATAATACCAAAGAAAAAGGCAATAGATGAACTTATGAAGGGGCGAAATATGGTGATTGCTATTACTTTAATATTGACAAAAGTAACTATTAATAACATACGGTTTTTAAATTACAGAAATCGCTAACACCTAACCTACCAGAAGATCAAGCAATATCCTTCTTTTTACAATGCCACAAACTTATTGTAGCTGTTTATCAATTGTTAAACGTTCAGGGAACTATGAAAATGGAGGCCACTCAGGCTGAATGCTCAGTCGGTTGGCTTAACGAGGTGCTTGTGTTGTTCACTGTTGGCCTAACATTATGCCAACAGCTCAAGGATAAAATTAATGCATTTAAAATGGACGTATCAAGTTAGTAAATTACATGCCATCTTCAATATATTTTGTTGAACGTAAGTTAATATTCATATATATATATATATATATAGATCTATATATATATATATTATGCCAAAGCCAACATATACAGTGTGCGGGTTCAGACCATTCTAGTACTATAAAAAAAAAATATTAAGTACTAAAGACCTACTATATTTATAATACCCAACATGCAAGTAATATATCATTGGTTAGTTATCAATACGTACATACATATCGGCTATAGAAAAAGGCATGCTACAAAAATGTAACTTCCATTAGTTGTGACGATAAACCTAAGCACTGTCACAGTCACAGTTACTACAATGAAGAAGGTGTTACAAAAGCGGGTGGTAACCAAGCAAATTTATTGATCTCAAGCAGTTAAACATAACTTGAGCATTATGTTATAATTTTTCGAATTTCAACATTCGGTTTTAGTATTTTCATTTTGATTTAAATAATAACATAAGAATATGTTTAAAGAAATATATGTATACATATGTATATATATATTTTTTTTTTTGGTTTATGCTTACCAGCTTGAAAGTTTTATAAAAATCAGATGTTAGCAAATCTTTGGCAGTAAGTACATGTTAGGGCTTAGTTCGGCGTGTGTAGCCAAGTATGTATATTGCAATCAGTTGAGGTTTTAAAAGTTTTTCACCTTTATGACTTTTTGATTACAATCAGCTTTACGTACTGTGTGCCGTTTGTAGTAAAGTGAATAAACTTTCGTTTTGCATATTCCGTATGGTTTTTGTATAACTAAATTTGCTGCTGTTTTCAGTCTCATTAATGCCTACATTCTATCTTTTAGTATATTCTTTGATGCATTTTTATAATTTAGTATTTGTTTATATCTTTCGGGAGTAATTTAAATTTGTAAATTCATGAGATTATTATTCCAGTTAGTTTCCTAGGATTTTTTATTATATAAAATTTTATATTCCTTGCGCATTTTTTATTTGTTAAAAATATAAATTTTTAAGGCCTTCCTGTTTTATTTGATCAATATATTATTCTTTTTAACATATTGTTGGCAAAAGAAATGCATATATGTAGGGTTTTCTTACATGCTCATTAGTTCCTTATTAGCAATATACGTACATTTGTCTGTCGCACACAGTCAAGCAGCTCCACATCATTTTATTATTTTTTATGGCGAAAGCATTTTGGTGCAAAAACAACTAATAGTACATACATAAACTAAAAATGTATAGATGTGTGTTTCACAAACTTAATGCCACCTTCGAAAAAGCTGCAAAAATGTTTAAAAACAACTGTAACAACAGGGTGCTGCCGTTAGTAATATTAAGCTGCAAGAAGCAACATAGTATTTATAAAACAGCAATATGTAGTAGCAACGACAAAAGCAAATACAGTTATTCAACTGAAATTTATTGGTTCAAAAAAAATTTGTAATAATTAAACAAAAAATTGACAATAACTTCTATTCTGCAACTTGCAAAGATAAACCGTTAAATATACAATGGCATAGTAATATAAACGGTATACTTTGCGCATACTAAATGTGCTATATTGAAATAAAAACGTCATCAAAGTTCTATTCATAATTACATTTAAAAATGTTGACTACAATTATAAACAAAAGGCGAAATGGCGACTATTTCTCCAAATTTATTGCCATTTAGCGAATTTATTGCCTTTCAGTGATTATATCGTGAAAAATGTCGAACAATTTAATATTATGTATTTTATTAATGTTTGCTAACAGTATTTTGAATTTTTACATGTACTTACTACATAACCTAATTAGGTGTGACAGTTAACGAGTGTTACTATCCTTACCTTAAACTGCAATGAAAAGTACGCGTGTTTCACGATTTTTTTTTTATCGAATTTCAATATGTAGTTTTAAGATGAAATGAAAGCCCAAACAGAAATTTGGAATCAATTACTCTTGATTGCCTTGGATTAATTAGATTATTGATGAAACAAAATTAATTATCTTTGCGTGTTTATAAGAAATTGGAAAAATAGAAAAAAACCTTTATCTCGCTATTTACTTAATATATAAGGCGCTTTAAAACTCGAAAGAAACCGTTTAACTACCTATTCAACTAAATACCTGTATACTTAAATTTACTTAAGCGTATTTATTTACAACCATATGTGTTTTAAACTAAACTAGTAAAAAAAAGAAATTACGTTCTTTTGTTAGCATTTAAGTATTTATTTACATGCAGCATAAGAAAATGATTTATGTATATCTCATTGAGAGCCTGGAGCATGGTATGTCCCTTATGAAGCTCCCATTTTAAGAATAATAAATGTTTAAAAAAAGCTCATGATATACAACAAATACCATACATACAAACATGATAAGTGAATAGCGTTTTTTGTAAGCTACCATATTAAATTTATATATACATATGTATGTATTACAACTGAATTTAAAAACAAAAAGTTGTTAATTGAGTTTATAATTCAAATAAATGTAATCAACGTTACTAAAATAACGTATAAATTCAAAAGATATATTTACATTTCATTCATATTTATATACTTTCACCGCGACATTTTATTCATTAAGTTTTTTCTTCAAAATGCTCAACTGTGTTAAGCAATTATCACGATAGGTGCGTCGTTCAGCCAACTTGTCTAACGGTACCATAACTTCCAATTGTTTTGCGATCTCCACCGCTGTTGGTCCTTCCATTTTCGGTGTTGGTCCCATAGTTTGACTGACGGCATACATGGTGTTTGAATAGCGTTCGAAGTAATTGGTCATACCCTCGGCATTTAAATGTGCAGTTTCAAGTGGTCCCAAGAAAGCATAACGCATGCCCAAACCGTCGGACATTACACTATCCACATCCTTAACGTCGACAATACCGCTTTCGACCAAACGCCAAGTCTCATTCAATATGGCATACTGTATGCGATTGAGTACGAAACCTTCAATTTCACGACTCAAAACGACGGGCTTCTGCCCAATTTCCTCCATAATGGCGCGTGTCTTCTTCACCACCTCTGGTTTTGTCCACGGAGCGGGTACAACCTCTACCAGTGGAACATAGTATGGTGGATTGACAGGATGTGAAACGAGTACCTTTTTAAAAAAAAAATATTTTTAGTATATTTACATCTATATTAATTTTATAAAAAGGCAAGATATGATTGCGTGCTTGTTTGATTAATAAAAATTTTAATTTCTCTAAGTTAAACTCTTTTAGTTGTAAAATGTGTTTTCGAAATAAAAATTAAACCATCCAAATTAGTACTCGAGTTTTTGAGATATCGATTTGAAATTTTGCACAAGTCCTTTTATTCCCAAGAAGCTGCTCTTTGGTCGCAACCACCGATATCCTACCACTATAGCAACAGCTGCCATACAGACTGAGCATTCCAAATCAAGTTCTTGTATGGACAACCATTTTAACTATGAACGCTATTTATGAATCATCTGACGATGCGATCTTTCGATACCAATGTTTTTAATGCATTATAGCAAAAATTTACTCAATTTGCAATTAAATTTAATTTGAATTTCTTTTGACTATCAACTATTAATTATCTACATCTACATGAGTTAACGACTGAAATAGCGCGGTACTTTAAATGCACGCCTGGCGCCCGTGCCATTAAAATGATTTTCCTAAAAGAACAGCCACTTCGGATAGGGTCATTTGAAGAGCGCAACGCCATACCAGAGCATAAGTACAACGTAACTAAGGTGAATCCATATCAAAGCTGATATGATCGTAGTCTTAAGCATGGAAAACTCATATATTTTTCTTATCTATGTCATCTTGTTCAGTTGCCTTGCTTAAAATGTTATCCGAAAGTATAGTTATATATAGAAAGTATAATTTCAGAGATCAGCAGAAGCGCAAGTGATCAACGGCATGTTTACCTATTTATGTTTGAAAATGGTGCCACAATACAAATACAAATATGATTTTTTATATCTTATCAAAATTTGTACATATTTATTTTTATTTTTCTATAGCTTTTTTTGTGAATAAACAAAATGATAACCAACAATTTGTTATCTGACACTCAAGCAAGTGTTAGAAAGATGGCACTTATGTTTAATTAATGACGCGCTCAATTACGCAAACACATAATCTCACCAGCGCAGTCTATTGATGCTGTTTTGTGTGAAATTATGGATGATTGACGTCGTTTTGTGCGAACATTTGTGACTTTGTGGGTTTGCCTTTATAGCATTGTTGTATAAGTTTTTGGTTATTGTTTTTAATTTGTTTGGTAACTTAGAGGGTAGTTCAATCAGTGTTATCGCTGTTATTATTGATTGTAAAATTCAATTGGCTAATCGAAATTATGTACATGTGTATATATATGAGTAACGGATACACATATGTATGTATTTTTTATGTATACATACATATATACTTAATTAATTTATTTTTATCGCTCTATTGTTATTGCAGGTAATTTTTTTTAACCAATAATTCATTCAGTCAATTAGAGTATACTCTAATAACGTGAATATATCATCCTATCAATGAGCAAAGTGAATGAATTTACGTCAGTTCGTAAGTCAAATCAAGGTGAAAATGTGTACACATGCCCAAATATTTTACCTAACGCTGACTAGTTGCTTAGAATGCTCTACAAACTAGTTTTCATGCATTGTTGAGCAGCTAATTTTTTTTTTTTTACCATTACAATTTAAGATTATAAAATGTAAATAACGCATAAATTTACTCACATTCGACTGGTGTTTCAAGTCTTTCGAGAATAACGATGGCAGGAAAGTACTTGTGGAGCTGGAGAGTATGGTTTGGTCTTCAACAACTGCATCCAATTGCTTGTAAAGTGCTTGTTTCCAATCCAAGCGTTCTGGTATGCATTCTTGTATGAATATTGCACCTTTCACCAATACTTTAATGTCAGTTGTGCCCGACATGAGTGCGAACTGCTGGCTGGCATTCAGTTTACCACGCAGCAAGCCTTTAGCTTCCAACGCTTTGAGCTCCTTTTCCGTTTCCTTCAAAGCATTTTCAATTTGAGTTGGTACACTATCGTATAGTACCACTGAGTAGCCAACGGAGGCGAATAACATGGACCACGAACGTCCAATAAGGCCGCTAAATATTAATGCGTTTAATTTGTTATAATTTTTTCGAGAAATATGTTTTTAAATGTCCTCACCTGCCAATAATTCCTACTTTTCCTTTGCTTGCCATAATTCACAAAAATTTGAAAACTTTAACGCAGTTAACTTTTTCGATTATTATACGCTTTGCACTATATATTAGCTGCCGGTCGGTTAGACTTCTGTTATACGTCTGACTTCCTTTGTGGTGGCAGAGCGTGTATAAATACTGTGTTGCTCTTACCGCAGTGGTAGTCGGTGCGGTTTGCTCAGAGTTTTGACGTTTTGCCTATTACTCGCATCCCCCGAATCCCCTACACGAGTCTGTTAGCAATGTTGTCAAACATGCATATTGGCCTCTTAACAATGATAAGGCATATCAATATTATAAATAAATGGGAATAAACTTGCATGTCCAAATTAGAGATTAGAGTTAAGTAATATCTCACACAAGGAGAACGGTATGATTGTTTCCACTATTAGGCGTGTTATTTACGTGTCTATACTTCTTTATTTAAGTTCAGATGTATTTGTATGTGTTTTGCTGCTGTTTTATGTATTTTGTGTATAAAGATAAGTCATTTTTTATTTTATGTAAGTGATGCCGTTATATAAATTTCAGCCAACTATATTTCGTATATTATGAACCGACCTAATGCAACCGAATAAGCATACTAACGAAATCGAGTAGTCATATGTAACTGACCTACCTGACTTTACATACCTGGAGCTGTTCGTTAGGGACTTATCGCAAGTTTATTAGTTTTGATTAATACCGTTCTATGGAAGTGGGCTTGGTTATAAATCGAACATATAGTATTTTTAAATGTGAATCCAAAATTTAGGGCAATTAAATATGTATATAATCCAAACCTATAACTAGAAAAGTCATGATACGAAAAAAAATATTACACGTAGTAAGAATTTTAAATTGAAATACCGAAAACAGTCGTTTTGACTGGTCTGGTATATCTAGTGTAAAGTAGAAATTAGGCGATTTTCGTGAATTTTCTTAAGGGAAAGTACGCAATGGAATATTTCGAACTTCTTTGAACGTAATAAGGTATATTTTCGGCTAAATGTTAAGATTTTTTTTTACAAAAAGTGTTGAAAAATAACGGAGTTAAGGGTTGTCTTCGGAGGTGTCAAAAAAAAAAGTGCCCCAACTACTGACACGATTCCGGCCGAATGAGTAGCCCAAACAAAAAAAAATTGAAAACCTTATTAAACTTAAAGATATTTCCTATACAATGAACTACGATCTTTGAAAAATATCAAAAATTCACAAAATGGCGTCATTTTGAAAAAAAAAAATCGTTTTTTTACGAAAAACGTTGAGTTATGATGTCAGCAATTTTGAAAAATGTCGTTTCGAGAAAAACGCGTTTAAAGTTTCACTTATATACATACATATGTATGTATGTTAGGCTCTAAGAGCGGTCGCTCTTTAGAACGCTGCCAACCAAAAACTATTGAAGATACGACCTTCCCGATTTCACAAGATATTTATGGAAAATATTCGATATAACCTATCGAAAAGCAAAAAAAAAAGTTTTTTTTTGAAAGTATCACACTGGTATAGCCCCTTAAGAGGTTAGGGGTAGTCAGAATTCTTAAAATATTTTTTTTTTGCATTTTCGCTAAGTGTAATATCTTAAAAATATTCTCTGAAAATTTCACGTTGATCCGATAATTTGTTTTTGAGTTATCCGACAAATAACAAAGAGAGCTCGGGCACTTCAAAATGCTAGTGTGAAACTTTAAACGCGTTTTTCTCAAAACTATGTTTTTTGAACTGGTGATAACTGTAACTCGAAAACAGTTTGTAGATTATACAGCTATTGTAATACATAATAAACTTGGGCCTGATCGAAGGATTTTTTTTTTTAATTTCGATTTCTTAAATCCAATTAACTGTTTTTCGCAAAACTTTAGAAAAAAATTTCCTGAGGACGCCATTTTGTTCATTTACAAAAAAAAAAAATCCTTCGATCAGGCCGAGGATTATCTACTTATTTTTGTTTTGTCCGATTGATTTTAGATGAATCTCCAAGGACTAATGGTTGTAACCGCAAGTACCTTTTTTTTGGAACAGGGTCAACACAAACAAATATAACTTTAGAAATAAATTTTTTTTTTTTGAAATTTTCGTGACTTCAAGTCAACACATTCTATAACAATGCCATATTACTACTTTTGCAAAATAACACGATTTAATAGAAAAAAACGAAAAAAATACTGAAAATTCCCAATTTTTGGTGCCTCTGACTACCTCTAACTCTTTCAACAATATTTTTTCACGAATTTCCGATGCTGAGTTCGATTTTTCACAAACGAAGAAATACAGGGTTTGCCATTTAAAAAAAAAATTAAACCAATCGTTACAATTCTTCAAAAACTTCCGAAATAGACTCCTTTTGTGTCGATGCAGCGCGATTTCCAAGCATTGAAGGCATCACGGAAAGCATTTTCCGGAATAGCCTTGAGAGACGAGATGCATGCTGCTTGGATCCCTTCTGTCGTCGCAAACTGCTTGCCTTTCATCGGCCTTTTCAGACAAGGAAACAAAAAAGACTGGAAGGCCCACATCTGGGCTGTAGAACGCCTACGGAAGCGTTGGGTTGTCGGTCTTGGTTAGGCAGCTGTTCACAAGAATGGCGGTGTGAGCCGGGACGTTGTCGTGGTGCAATTTTCAACCGGCTGCGATGTCTTGTCGTACCCAATTGAAGCTTCGTTTGAGTCTCTTGAGGACTTCAACGTAAAACTTGGCGTTGACGGTTTGTCCAGAAGGAACAAGTTCATGGTGGATGGATGGATGTCAAAAGAGATAATGAGCATCGTTTTCACTTTGGATTTGCTCATTCATCAGCGACCTCTCTTCGGGCCTCCTAAAAGACCTGGTGCCACCGATATACACCACTTCTTGCTAAAGCAACATCTGGGTAAGCTTACTTGATCATATCAAACGTCTCTGTCGCAGATTTACCGAGTTTCAGTCACGGCAACCAGTCATATTACTTTCCGGACAAACCCTGTTAACATTTGTTCGAAATGTTTCGTGATCTAGAAATCTCATATCATATCATACATTCAATTATTTGATATTTAATCCTCACAAGCGTTATTTTGGTATGTTCCGAAGGATAGTTCACTCAGCAGCATTCCCTGAAATGTCTTAGGGAGAGGTTTAGCGCCTCTTTAAAGCACTTTTCAATTTTTTTTAAATCCAGCGATTGTGCAGACTGAATTATGGTTTAACCCATTATCGTATATTATTACATTCCGGTTCTCACTACACAAAGCCGAAGTTATAATTGCACTATTGTTTAAACTTTTTATTTTCAATTTAAATAAGCAGGTGTTACCCGGGACGTCGACCAAAAACGGGTTACTTCTTGCAGGTTTATTGTCTTTCCAAATTAGCCTTTTACGTTCCTTCGCTCAATCTTACGATTTGTGAACTAACGAAATGTTTCAGTATGCGCTAATACGTGTTAAATTTACATTGAGAGCGAAACTTAGAGTGTACATTTTCTGTGAGAGTATTATGCAGTCTACTCAAAAGAAAAATTTGATCTCTACGCGTACAGTTTCTATATGTAGATTCTAAAGTATAGAAATACCGGTAATAATAAACTGAACAAAGCTTTCTTCGTCAAAGTAGCTTGAAGCTTTAATGTTAATATAAAGTAGAAGTGTAGAATCTGTACCAGAGAATGTTAATAATAAAAATCAACCGTTTTGTAGGCAAGTATTTATATATTAGTAATCTCTTTATGTACGTGTATAATGCTTGAATACGAGAGCAACAATTTAGTGCAAAGCTACGTGTTCGCTTTCTCAGTCTCATTAAGTTTAACAGCGCTCAGAGCGATCTACATATGTTTTGTTATGTTGAAAAAACTTGTAATCAACAAGTGTCTTACGGTGGACTTGAGAAGAGAGAGATTATAAAATTTCGCTGACTATAACCAATAAATAAAATTAAATATTATCGCTGTTTGCATATTCGCTTCTATTTGTATGCTCCTTTATAGCTTACCGTACCTTCATTTACCTCCATTTTGTGTATTAACATCGTGTAGAGATAACACGAATGATTACGTTTGTAATAGAAAATTTATTTATTATTGACATTCCTGCTTCTGCAACACATACTTTGTATTTATTCTTAAGATTGCATAATACATGAACTGTGGCACAAAACTAGCGATTTTTGATGGCAAGATTAAATACAAATTTATTTGATTCTCTCAGTTAGCTTTCAGCACATCTTTATTTATGACACCGGGATATGTTGTGTACTTCGGTGACTTTCCGGTCAACGCAACGAATTGCTCAGCAACTTCGACTGCCACACGCACCTGTGCCTCAGCTGTGCTGGCGCCCAAATGTGGCGTCGCCACCACTTTTGGATGCGCGATCAATGCTTTGGTCACCTCCGATTTTGGCGGCTCTTCAGGGAACACATCAAAGGCGGCGCCACCGCAAATGCCACTTTCTAACGCATCTAAAACGGCTTGCTCGTCAATAATACCACCGCGTGCCACATTCACCACCTTAACGCCACGCTTACACTTCGCAAGCGTTTGAGCCGAAATTAAATTCCTAGTCTGCGGTATGAGTGGTGTGTGTACGGTGATATAATCTGCCAATGGCCAAATGCTATCCAACTCCATTTTTTCAATGCCTGCTGCGCGTGCCTCTTCTTCGGTTGTTATCGGATCGTAGCCAATCGTACGCATACCCCATGTTTTCATGCGTATGGCCACTTCACGTCCAATGCGTCCTAAACCGATGATCGCCAGAGTTTTGCCATACAATTCCGTGCCACTGTACAATTTGCGATCCCAACGACCCTCCTTCAAGCTCTGTGCTGCCGGTACAATTGGTCGCGCCAAAGCGCCAATTAGCAGACAAGTCAGCTCACAAGCTGAAATGGAATTTCCTCCTGGTGTATTTAATACAACCACACCGTGGCTTGTAGCTGCAGCCACATCGATATTGTCGACTCCCGCGCCAGCGCGCCCCACCGCCTTCAGCAGTCCACCATCTGCGGTACCTGCCTTGATAACTTCAGCTGTTATCTTGGTGTCCGAGCGTACAATGACCGCATTGTAATTTTTCACCACAGCGCATAGTTCGCTAACGGGTAATTTTAGTTTTGTGTCCACATTTATGCCATTATTTTGTAGCAATTCCACACAAGCTTTATCTACCGCATCACAGATCAATACATTTTTAATATCAACAGGCATTTTGAACTGTAGTAACCTCTCTGTCGTTGCGTATAAAAACGAATGATAAGATGAGCGTCCGAATTTAAATCGTTTATGCTAAATATAGAAACGTCTGCCCAGCTCTGAGCGCGGCTTATAACTAAAGCCTTCTGTTAAGTTTTATTCCATTTATATGAGCAGGTTCAGTTTCGACAGAGAAATAAAACGAAGTCTGAAATTTTCAATTCACCTCACGACGAAAGAATCTGAATTAACAGTGTTTTACTCTTTTGCAAATGGAAATCTGTAGAAATTACGCATTTTATTTAAAACTCCACAAAGATTTTGTCAACCTTACCACTAGTGGAGGGAATTCAAACAGTCTTTCGTCGAGTGAGAAATCTTTCATTCTGATTTTATTTTTAAATGTGGAAACCTTATATACTACTTTTCAAAATATCCTAAATAACTAAATATAGTATGTGTATGTTTATATATTATATATGTATGTTGGCTATTGTTTGAACCTATGTTGTGTGACCTTGGGTTTGTTTGAATGTGCGTACATTTACAAATGGTTGCTAAAATGTATTCTAAGAACCCATGGGTTATCATCTGCAAACATCTTATCCTTAGTTATGTTTGTGTATAATATATATAAATATGAAGTCGAACAAGCATTGATTTACCTTCGTTCATTTTCCTGCAAATGTTATATCAATGTTTATTGTTTTAATAATTCTTTATTTATCGCTCAAAAATTGATACTAATATGAAGATACACATGTATGTAATCAACTTACATATATGTCATTTCTACATCACCAACAAAGTAAAGGCCCTGCAAGCCGTAGTCAGATTTACTTGAAAGACAAAGTAACAACAGAGAACATAACATTTTCAATAATTGTGATCACTGTTAAGCGTCAATCGTCACTGCCTACTGTATAAAAATTTGTAAGTTATGTATGTCTTCGACAACTCGTCTACATTACACTGAAATACTATCGATGGAGTACTCTCCGAGCGCTATAGGAAAACAATTGTGCATTATTGGCTATACCGTTATTCAAAACATAAGCTTATCAAAAGAATTGTGCGAAACTGATACCCCTTCACGAAATGATTATCAATCCGGAACCAACAACTAATCCTCCTAACAACTAACTACAATTTCTAAAATTAGAATATTTAAGCTTGCTTGATTCGTTTTTAGTATGAGTGTAAAACAGAATTCCAGACAGAATGTTCAGCAGTATGTACATATTTACATATAAGATGTGAATACTTAAGTATAACATTCATTTTGGACTTTCTCATCAATTATCATAAATGTTTGCTCTCAGTTTTTGTAAGTTTGTAAACAAAAATGCACTTTCGCCTTTATGATCTTTATTAACTTTTTGTGAGAGTTTGGTAAATTTTTTGCTAGTACACACCCACCGATCAAATTTAACTGGGAATGACTCACTCAAATTGCACGTGCAAATCAAATCGATTTGTTTTCAATATTCATAAAGGCTTTTTTATGTTCGTGTAAAGGTTGTAAGTAAGTAAACTTTTTTTTTTACCATTAAAAAATTTACTTTTTGCTTGCTGGACGAAGCGTGAATGGAGTGTGTCAATCTAGATTACGTACCAAAGCTCATCTTCTTCTTTACTGGCGTAGACGCGGTTACAGTCATTCTTCCTTTTCGCTGTTTGGCGCCAATTGGAGATTCCAAGTGTAGCCAGCTCTTTTTCCACCAGGTCTTTCCAACGGAATGAAGGTCATCCTCTTTTTCTGCCTCCCCAGGCGGGTATTACGTCGAATGCTCGTACAGCTCATCGTTCCATCGAATGTGGTATTCGCTGTGGCCATTGCGCAAATGACCTTAAATCTTCCGCAGAATCTTTCTCTCAGAAATTCGTAACGTCGACTCATCTGATTTTGTCATCGTCCATTGCTCTGCACCACATAGACGGATGGGAATAATGAGTGACTGATGGAGTTTTGTTTTTGTTCTTCGACAGAGGACTTTACGTCTCAATTGCCCACTCAGTCGAAGGGAGCACCTGTTGGCAAGAGTTATTCTGCGTTGGAGTTCGAGGTTGACATTGTTGCGGCTGTTAATACTGGTTCCAGGATAGACAAAATTAACTACGACTTCGAAGTTATGACTGTCAACAGTGATGTGGGAGCCTAGTCGCCAGTTTGTTTGATGACAGAATATATTTCGTCTTGTCCTCGTTCACTACCAGACCAATTTCCTTCGCTTCCTTATCAATTCTGGAGGAAGCAGAACTAACGACGCGTGCCAAAGTTAGGTTTGGTTATGGCTTGAGAGCCACGCATAGACCAGTTTTAGTCCTTAGGGACGCCAGATGGAGTGCTGTTACGTAGTTCAAGAGAAGCAGTTATCCTTCAGGATGGCTACGATTATGGTGAATTGTATCAAGATCTCCGGTCTCATAATCGACAAATCTTCCAGTGTTTCATACCGTAAGCCCCCAAATGTTTGAAGCGTTAACTTGCACGTGTGAGAAAAGAGATGCTCCATTACTTCCCTGGTGTCCTGTTCGTGATATTTCTCTATGTGTCAGTCCCATTCTGTAGGAATGCCGTTACTAGACCGGTTAGTATTCCATATATGTTCCTACAGTCTCGTTAATCAAGAGTGAGTAGGAACTTTGTGTATTTTCGTCAACCGCGTTGCACACGAACTTTGCAGTTTTGCAACCTGTTAGATCATTCCATCGAATTTTAATCCTACTAAACGAATTGAATCTTTTGTAAAAATGACATCGAGTGGAGGTCTCAAGAGAAATGCTTAACAGCGTAGCTATAGACCCTACACTCACCACAGGCATCATTACAGTTGGCGAGACGTGGGTTTATGAATATGACGTCAAAACTGTCTAAAATGACTCTTCAACAAAATGAGTCGAAACCGATAAAAATGCAGGCGAGTTTTGAAGACTATAAAAAATATTTGTATTGGAATGTATGAAAATGTATTTTTTGTCAATCCGGGTCAAAGTTGATCAGATGGTATGTAATATACATATGCATATCTGAATATAACAGTCATATTTTTATTTTAATATACATTTAATAGTTAAGATGTGTTTACTAAAATTTCACTAAGAGTTTGCCTAAAGTTTTCAAAATTTATATTCTGTTTACGATTCACCATGAATGTTTTTACGTGGTAGCAGCAAAGCAAGAAAAGCGCAACTGAACAGAGCTCCACAGCAGATATAGAAATTCCATTCGCAATGCTGACCCATCAAAGCTCCAGCAACGTTGGCCCCGACAATACTTCCAACACGACCCACCATAAGTGATATGCATGCAGCCATGGCGCTATTTTTTACGAAAAAATTACAATTTATTTAAGTAAATCTTTCTACATACATACATATGTTCTTACCGCAAGTGTGTTGGATACAGATCTATTGTAATAGCATTCAGCACAATGATTGCCACGCCTACGACGAAAAAAAGCACATACAGGTCTGTCTCTTATACACATCTAGATGTGTATAAGAGACAGTACATACATATGTTCTTACCGCAAGTGTGTTGGATACAGATCTATTGTAATAGCATTCAGCACAATGATTGCCACGCCTACGACGAAAAAAAGCACATACAGGTAGGCGGCAATAACTGGATTGACTATGAAGACAGAAGCTAAACCGCAGGATGTGAATAATATTATGGTAATAACTGTAAAATTATTTTATTATTTCTACTGAATTGAAAATCTTATATGAAGACCTACAAAGAATCAATATTTTTGCGACACGATTTATGATAAAGCCTACTAATGCGAATGAGCTGGCGTAAAGTATTTCCATAATAAGCGAGTAATAGAATGTGGGGGTCTCCAGTTTAGTCACGCACTCAATCGTCTAAAAGTAAAATTTGGCATGTTTTTTAGTTTAAAGTACATACAAGAAATTTTACTCACTCCATCTGTTTTGTATAACGCGTCTTGCTGGTCATAGACAATTTCACAAATTAGTTTGTGCTCGCCTGAGTGTTCCTGTATGAATGTCACCACACTATTGATTGTTTGCGGGAACCACATATATAAGCCGTTGGCAGCGACTAATGCCCAAAATTGAATATTACAAATTATTACCGTAATTTGCAAATATTTCCGTTGGAACAGTGGCGCAGTTTGACTCCACATCGTTTGCAAAAATACGAGTGCGAAATTCGTATTCGAATCGCAGTTGTTAAATTTCGGTGTTATGATCGAAGTGTCATCATCTGAGAGAATATTTGTAATCTGTGAGAGCGATAGTGAATAAATCATAAAAGCGATTTCGTTAGTGAAAAGAGTATATATTATCTTATTTTAGCTTACTCTAAGTGTTTGCTTGCCATTATTCCAGCGGTGCATTTTTTGCAACACCTGTATGGCTTTGCTCTCCTCGCCGACTGTCAGCAAAAACTTTGGACTTTCGGGCAAAATATAAATTATAATACTGCAAAGTAATCCGGGAACACCACATACGATTAAAAAGACCCGCCAAGGTCTATAGTTTATGTGTAGAAATGTTAAAGGCAAAACCCAGTCTTGATTTATCACCAAGTAAGCGATCATCGGCAGAAGCATCGCAACAACGGAAAATATGACTGCTGAGCACATAATTGCGCGGGAACGTGTTTTGGGTGCATGGAATTCGCCAAGGTAAGCGTAAATGATAGCAGTGCTGGACACACTATTCGAAAAAAAAAATATACATATACATATAAAGTGAAAAATTCTAAACGAAATTCTTTAGATTTTATAATTATATGTTTTAATGGAAACTATTACTATAAATACCTATAGAGCGGGTTTGCTAATTTGAAAAAACTATTTGAGAGGTTATGTCTACTTGCAAGTTAATTACTTTCATAATAGATAATTAACTTAAAAATTGAGTTATCTTGATTCCGTAGCCGATCTCCAGGAACACCGCCAAAAACTAGGTCTTCAGTGCGAAATGTTTTTCTTCCAAAAATTATCTCAAATCCCATAACCAAAAAAAAAATATTATTTTTACAAAGATTAATTAAAATTTTGATTTTTGCAGCTTCTTAAAACAGTCGTTTTTTATGAAACTTTTTACATTTCAGAGTGGCTGAAAAAACAAAAGACTTTTTCCCTGCATTACGATATATCTAAAAAACGAATTTAAAGTTTTGCGAGCAGAAAGTCAAATACTAATAATATCAATAAATATAGCATTCATTCATTGKTAAAAACAAAATCATTTAACTTTCATCTTTGGTGGATGAAATATAAATTAAATATTGATACTCACAAGAATCCATTGACAAAACGCAGTAAAACCATCGTCCAAAAATTGTGTGCAAAACTGGAGAAAACAGTAGACACAAAAGCTGCCAGCAAAGTGGACCATAAAACCTGCCGACGTCCCTTGGTATCAGCAAAAAATCCCCACAAATGTGAACTAGCGATTATGCCCACAAAATTGATTGCGCTGAGTATACCCTTGTCACGATTGGTCAATTGCAATTCGCATTGAGCTATGGGCAGCACAAAGCCTATTGAAGTCGTCTCCAGCACCAGTGTGCCCGTTACCAAGCCGGAGATGAAAATCAAAACATAGTTGAATTTTCCAAAATCTGTAGAGTAAACATTGCAGGAGCATGAGAGTTTACTTTTTATGCTCTATTAGTCTACTTACTTGTTAGAGCCAAAGCTTCAGTGAAGGTGTAGGTACCTGGCTCACGAATTCGGCCCACTGTTTTGGCATCTCGAATGCAAATTGTTGTGGCTGTTTATATTTTTTTCACAATAATTATAGTAATCAAGTAATGAGAGCGAGATTAAAATTGTAACTAATTTAAATTTTGTAATTAAGAGATCTTAAACAAATGAAAGGAATATTTATGTTACATAATTTTTTACCAGCTGGTTGTCATTAAAATTTTAAGAATTTAACGGGTGATCATGTTAGTTTTGTTCAGTATTGTTTAACATTTCATCATGGAAAAACTTACGCCTAAATAAAGAGCATAAATCGTTCAACTTTATTGCGAATATTCACTTTCTGTAAAGAATGTGTTCCCCGAACTTCGCTCAACTTATGGTCATCATAATCGGCCTACTGAGCGTACTATTAGCAACACCATCATTTATTTTGAGACCCAGCATTCATAATTGAATAATATTCGACCGAATAGACTACGATCAGTACGCAGTGAAGAAAATATAGCAACCGTAATTGAGAGTGTAGACGAAGACCGTGGAGAGTCGATTTGGCGCCGTTCGCAGTAACTCCGAGTGACGTATAGACCTACTTGGCGCGCTTACCGACAAGATTTTAAATTGAGAGCGTACAAAATACAGCTTGTACAAAAACTGCAGCCGCTCGACCTTCCCAAGTAGCATCGCTTTGCTCTATGGGCTCTTGAAAAGTTCCAAGCTAGTTTCGAACAATGTATGGCTCAATGAAGAGCAGCCTGAAGAGATTCAAAAGATTCACGAGCTGCCATTCATTAAGAAAATGTAACGATTTAGTGCGACATTTGGTTTCAACAAGACGGCGCCACTTCCCACACATCGCTTCAATCAATGGATTTATTTAGAGAACGCTTTGGTGAGCAGATAATTTCATGTTTTGGGCCAGTCGATTGGCCACCAAGATCGTCTGATATCACACCGTTTTTCCTGTGGGGCACGTAAAGTCTAAAGTTTATGCGGACAATCCCGTTTCGATTAATGACTTGAAGCCAAACATCATGCGTGTCGGCAGTCAATGCTCGAATGAGCTATCGAAAATTGGACTCAAACAATGGACCAACTGAGATGTAGCCGCGGGCAACATTTGAAAGACATAACTTTCAAAAAATAAATGCCAAAGAATGTTCTTTCGATTGATAATAAACATTCCCCCTTAAATTTGAAATTTCTGTGTTTTTACTTAAAAAAAATAGGGAACTTCGAAATAGTTCACCCTTTTTAACTCAAATAATGAATAATTAGTAGGTTTGATTTTGAAGTACTAGTAACTGCAAGCTATTAGGAAGGGAAAAAATTAAAAAAAAAAAGTTCGTAAAACAGCAAAAATTGGTAATAAAATATCACAACTTCAGTTTTTATAATCACATATCAATCATTAATTAACAATATTTGTGTTTTCACAAAACTATTAAACTGAACATAATTAAACGAAATGCGTTAAATATCGCTTTTTTCTCGATTTCTTCAGAAAAAACATTACAGACTTCTGCCAGCAAATGGTTCTTTAGCAGAAACTAGCAGTACACTCTGGTTCTTGCGCTCTCAACATGTGCTCTTCTGCTAGTATTTTCAATTTTTATTTATCCATTCAGAAACAAACTTAATTAAATCTTAAATTTCACATTAATTTTATTCACATATTTTAATAAAAAAATTCTAGCTATTTTGCAAACACTATAACATTTATGATCACTTATTAGTGCACCAGCAACGAATGCAAAATTTCACTTAACAAACTTGTTTATTTTATCGATAAATTTGCCGTTTTTTTACTTCGATCTTTGAACATCTTTTCTCCTATTTGTATGTGTGAATATAAACATCATAATATTATTTCACTACAAGAAATATAATATTTATGTTATCCAACTGCAATTATCGTCTGTTGATATGTTCATACATAGACATATGTAAATTAATTACCCATTTTAGAAAGAAAACGAAAAAGAATTATAGTAACACTGAGCGCTTTAATTGAAAGGACCAATTCTAATTTGATTATTCTGAATACACAATCAAATATCTACTAACTTCTTMATATAATTTATTTATTTTATCAAGCCAATATTTAAGCAGCCGTAATGAATCTGAATTAAATAAAATTTTCTTAATTAACGAACCAGTTCTGACTCGCATATATTTTCTACACCCAGTCAGCATTTAGGAGATTATCAACAGGGATGACTGGCAATATGACAAGGTGTGTCCCGATTCCATAAAAGTGGTGATTTAAAAATAGTTAGTGAGCCTCATTTGTGCTACTACTCAATATAGGTCGGTTGTTTGTAGGAAATTGGAGCTACAATAAGAGCTTCGGTTTTCATGAATTTTGTTTACAATCTTAAAGAGTCATATAATTCGAAAGCAATCGGATTTCAGATGTGTTTATGTCACAAAAAAGGCTTAAGTAAGAAAAAATATTAGGCTGTGAGAGATTGTGTAGATTTCAAGATTTTTAGTTAAATTTTTTCAGTATTAAATTACCCTCTAGACAAGAGTTTATTATTATATGTACTTTATGGACAGAAATTCCCGCTTTATTTTTTCAAAAAATCGACCTTTTTTATTATGTTAATAAATTCTACAATACCTCTAGAGTATTTTCCTAAATTTTCAAGTTGATCCGAGTAATAGTTTCGGAGATAAAGCTTTGAGAACTTGTGTCCTCGAATTAGGCTAAGGCTAAGGCGCCGTCTTCAAACGCGTTTTTCTCGAAACTGTGTTTTTGTAGACGGCTGTTAAGATCTTTCGAGAACTACTCAACCGATCTTTATAAAATTTTACATAGGTCTGGACTTTCAGATACAATTCGTAAAGATTTGGAGGAGTTACTATTTGAAAATTTTATTATTTAACTATTTAAAAAAAAATGTCTGTCAAAAATCAAACTCTTCGTCCAAGTTCTAAGTTAAAGTTTTAACTAAAACTCGTATTTTTTGTCTTTAGATGATTCTGTAAATAGTTATCCTGCCAACGCTGTTGCATCTTTTTCAGACGGGTCACGGGAATTGGCATCGCAATGGCCGAATTTAAAATATTTATTTCCAAAAATTTTCTTTGTTAATACTTCTTTGCTCTTTGTTAATATTGCATAATATGTTTGTAACAATAAAAAGATTCTAATTGTGTTTTTTGTAGTATTTCTGTGCATAAAATTCGTCTAATATCGTTGGCATGTTTTTGTCAGAACCGCCACGAGAAATTAACGATTGAACAAAAGTAAGCTCGAAGAAACACTCCTTAAAAAGGCATTATGTTGAGTTCGATCAGTTTTTAGATAAATACATATTCTTCCCATTTTGCACTATCATGATCTCCATTGTTACATAACCTAGTTACAATAAGGTCAACATAAAAATTTAAAAGAGTAAATGGCGATGGAAAGAACGTTCCTTTGCCCGACCATGAAGAAGTTCGAATAGCAATTACCCGTCTGAAAAACGACAAAGCGGCGGATTAGAATTTAATTATGCTCTGCCCAACCCACAAAAAGAGAGACCCCGTAATCTGAGCTAACTACGTGTGCCTCAACATCCCATATGATTTTCTATCGAGCGTACTGTGTGAAAGATTAAAGCACACCGTTAACAAACTGATTGAACCTCCCTGTAGCTTCAGGCTTGGAAAAACAACAACTGACCAGATATTAACCATACGCCAAATCTTGGAAGAGAGCTGTGAAAAGAGGACTGACACACACCAACTTTTCACCGCTTTTAAAGCTGCTATAGACATTACGAAGAGGAGCTGGTTTTATGAAGCTATGTCTGAATTTGGTATCCCCGAAAAAATAAAACGACTGTGTAAACTGATGTTGAGGAATACTAAAAGCTCCGTCACGATCGGGAGGGACTTCTCTGGCGTAAGCGGTGTCTACGCCAATAAAGAATAAGGAGAAATGGCTGCAGCTAAGATTTTTTAAAAGACTTGCGATGTGAATAAAACTTTCACGAATCTAAATTAGTTTTGAGGACGAATATTTTCAAAGTTATTTTAACTTTTATTTCACTTCCTATAAATCCATATAATCATATATAAAAAATCCATATTTTTATAAAAACCTATCTCTATTTAGACTAATTTACAAATCATATAACTTATATTCTAATAAATTTTTAATATCACTATTGTGAGAGTTTACAAAACTCTAGTTAAATGGTTATGGGTTAATCGTTTCGCTTGACTTAAGTTACTAAGCTATGAAATAAATAATACATACATACATACATATATATGTATATATATATCCATTTAAATCCATGCGCGTAAACTTGTACTAAATTCTTTAAGAGATATGTCCACGCAAATATTGCTAAAAACTAAGGAATCATAAACCAACGATCACGCTTCACTTTTGACCGCCGCATCGGGACTCTTACGTGGCAGCAGGAGTGCGAGAAAGGCGCAAGAATACATAGCACCGCAGCAGATGTAGAAGTTCCATTTACAATAATGACTCATTAGGACGCCGGCAATATTAGCGCCGACTACACTGCCCAAACGACCCACCATAAGTGAAATACAACCGGCCATGGCGCTAAAATAAATGCGAAATTAGAATGCGTTGCGATTGTAAGCTCATTTATTGACCTACCGCAGGTGTGTAGGGTATAAGTCGACTGTAACCGCACTCAGCACATAAATAGCCGCGCCCACCACGAAAAAGAGCACATAGAGGTAGGCGGCTACAGCTGGATCGACTATGAAGACTGATACTAAGCCACAGGTTGTGAAGAATATTAAGGTAATAACTGAAATAATTTTTCACAGATTAATTTTAGTTTAAAAATCTTGTAATACAAATGCTTACAGAGAATTAATAGCTTTCCAACACGATTTATGACGAAGCCAATGAATGCGAATGAGCTGGCATACATTATTTCCATGATGAAAGAATAATAATATGTGGAATCTTCCAGCTTGTCAATGCATGCGATCGTCTAAAAATGCATAAAATTCGAATTCAATTAAATCAGTTGAAATTTTTTTCAGTTATTTCCACTCACTCCATCAGTATTGTATAAGCCTTCTTGATGGTTATAGACAATCTCACAAATTTGTTTGTGCTCGCCTGGGTGTTCCTGCATGAACGCGGCGACACTATTCATAATATGCGGGAACCACATATACAGGCCATTGGTGACGACAAGCAACCAAAATTGTATAAAGCAAATGATCATTGTGATTCGTAAATATTTCCGCTGGAACAGTGGTGCGGTTTGGTTCCACATCGTTTGCAAAAAGACAAGTGCGAAATTCGAATTCGAATCGAAATTGCTGTTAAATTTCATTGTTGAGACTGCTGCGTCATCTTCGGGCAAAATATGTGTAATCTGTGTTAGTAAACGAAATAATAATAAATAAATATACATTTTAAAGCCTTCCACTACTTACAATGAGCTCTTCCTTTCCACCATTCCAACGATGAATTTTTTGCAATACTTCAATTGCTTTGCTTTCCTCTCCAATAGCAAGCAAAAATTTTGGACTTTCGGGTAATACAAAGAGTGACAATCCACAAAGAAACCCGGGAATGCCACATACGATTATAAATAGACGCCAGGGCTTGTAATCTATGCCCAGAAATGACAAAGGCAGAACCCAATCTCGATTAATGACTAGAAAAGCGATCATTGGTAAAATCATTGCGCCAAGAGCGAATATGAATGCTGATCCCATAATAGCTCGTGAGCGTGTTTTATCTGTATGGAATTCTCCGAGATAAGCGTAAATTGTTGCAGTGCTAGCCAAACTGTAAAAAATGTGGAAGGGACCTGAATGAATAATTGTTCATGATTGTAAGTTAAGGATTAACTAAAGTAATTTGAAAAAAAAAACTTTCAAAATTACACTAGAAAATTGTTCATTCACTTAAGAAGATATTAGGGGATAAATAATTTAAAAATTCTATTCAAGAGTCTGGGCTTCAAAGTGTGATTCGATTACCCTATAATTATCAAAAGTGTACTCAATAATGAATAAAAGGTCCGAATAAAATTAATCAATCTATATTTATGAAATAAATTCGCAGAAAAGTTTTTTTTTTTGTTACCTTGAAACCCTAACCCCTCCCTTAACTCTATCAGAGCTAGTAAATATGTATTATGCTTCACTTGAACTATCGAATTGTCACGAATACAGTACACTAAATATTTATAAATATTACTTTTTCCACTACTTGTAATCATGAAAGACATATACATATACATATATACTTACAAAAATCCATTAAAGAAACGCAGTAAAACCATAACCCAATAATTGATTGCGAAACTTGAGAGTATCGTAATCGTAAATGTGGCCAACAGTGTAGGTCTCATTACTTTACGACGACCCTTTGTATCTGCCAAAAACCCCCACAAATGCGAACTCGTTATTATGCCTAGAAAACTTATCGCGCTAAGAACACCCTTATCCACATTTGTTAATTGCAAATCACATTGTGCAATTGGTAGAATAAATCCCATTGAGGAGGTTTCCAGCAGCAGCGTGGCCATCACCATGCCGGAGATGAATATTAAAAAGTAATTAAATTTGCCAATGTCTGCAAAGAAATTAGGAAAATTAGTTGCTTGTGAAGTAGTAATATCAGTTATATACAAGTAGATTCGGTATTTACTTACTTGTTAATGCCAAGCAGTCAGTGAAAGTGTAGGCATTAGGTCCTCGAAATTTGTTAACAGCGGCGGCATCTTGAGTGGATATACTTTGTACTAGTTTAAAGTAAAGAACAATTTTGAAAGAAAATAGAAAGATAAATTAATTTAATGAAATGATGAATGAATGAAATTTTTTCAAATATTTACACTATAAAATTTTAAACTAAATGTTAGAGAAAAAATTTTGCTGCTAATATTATCATAAATTAAAAAAAAAAATTGTTTGGTTTACAATTCACTTATACTATATATGTATATTATATTATAGTATATGTATGGTATGAATGTATTCAAATGTAAATGCTTAATAAAGTGCTGTGGGAATAAAATTATTCATTTAAATACACAAGCATATTGACTAAAAGTAAAGGGTAAATTTGATTCTGCCAGCAAAAACTTTAGAAGGGACGTTACGTAACACTTAAGTTTTTAAGAGATTGTGATTTTTACAACAAAATACTCCAATTACGATTTTAAATTTAATTTTTTATATATTCTACCATGTATTATATGCAATTAGAAAGATGTACTAATTTATTCGTAAAATAATTAAATTTTAGTAACAATAGAGACGCCAAAAAGTTGACCGATAGGGACAGCAAACCGCCACCATATTTTTCCCGCTCTTTTAACATTTCTTTTCAGTAAGATTTGCCATTTCATCATGGAAGATATACGATCCAACAACGAGTCGAAATTATTTAAATTTACAACAGAATTTTAAAGTTAGTAGCCTCAACGATCGTCCTGCCAGATCAACAATTCAGCGTTTAGTGGAAAATTTTGAATCCACAGGCACAAAATGTTCCCGTGCCAGTGAGACAAAAAAGTGCCCGTAGTCTCGAGAATATTGCTGCTGCTGGCACATCAATTGAGGAAGACCCAAATCAGTCGTTCTCAAGCGTTGGGCATCTCTGTGACGTCGTCGGTTAGCGCACTTTTAGTGATTTTCAACATAACCTTTGTATGGGAGGTGGGTGTGGTTATTATCCGATTTCTTCCTTTTTGAACTGTGTACGGAAATGCCTGAAGGAAACGACTCTATAGAGTTTGGTTGACATAGCTATAGTAGTTTCCGAGRTATGTACAAAAACTTAGTAGGGGGCGGGGCCACGCCCACTTTTCCAAAAAAATTACGTCCAAACATGCCCCTCCCTAACGCGATCGTTTGTGCCAAATTTCACTTTAATATCTTTATTTATGGCTTAGTTAAGACACTTTATAGGTTTTCGGTTTTCGCCATTTTGTGGGCGTGGCAGTGCGCCGATTTTGCCCATCTTCGAACTTAACCTTCTTATGGAGCCAAGAAATACGTGTACCAAGTTTCATCATGATATCTCCAATTTTGCTTAAGGTACAGCTTGCACGGACGGACGGACGGACAGATATCCGGATTTCAACTCTACTCGTCACCCTGATCACTTTGGTATATATAACCCTACATCTGACTCTATTAGTTTTAGGACTTCCAAGCAACCGTTATGTGAACAAAACTATAATACTCTAATTAGCAACTTTGCTGCGAGAGTAAAAAAAGTGAAGGTTATGGGTATTTGAAAATCGTTAGGCAAGTATTCAAGACAGTTGGCAAGAGAGCTCGATTTTTGTAGATATTTTGCGCATGAAACACGTTCTGGCTCGACTCAGCATTTTCTTCAAAAAAGTACCGTAAACAGGTCTCTTTGGGCATGCTTGATCGTGCGAATTTCGATCCTAGATTCTTGAAGAGTATTATAACTACCTGACATGCAAAAAAGTCAACAACTCCAGGAATGAAGGGGAAAAAACGAGACGAAACCAAAAATCCACATCAAAGTCGCTCAAAAAGCAAGGTCATGTTTATGGTTTTAGTTTTTCGATAAATAGGAATTAACTACATAGTTATATCATTATCGTTCTAATCAAGAATACGTTAGCTATTAACATCAAAGAAATTTGCATTTTTGTACTGAAATCCACTTAAAAAATTTGTAAACTCATTGAACCTTTTTCACACACAATATACATAGGTAATTTATTCATACCAAACTTGAAATTTCAAAACAACGATTAAAACTTTACAACTTCATTGAGTGAATCGAATGTACATAAATGTATACAAATCATTAAGAGCAGTTATAAAAATCTAAAAATATAACAAAAGCATGTAGCATTGAAAAAAGACAAAATCCTTACGATGTTATACTATTTGATTACTAATGTCCTTAAAACACTGTAGCACTTGCAAAGTTGTGGACTTAAAATTTAAGTAAATAACTATTGATTGATTTTACAAAAAAAAAAAATTTTTAATGTTTTTTAGTTAGCAACTAAAATTAACTAAAAATTTTTTAATGTTTTTTTTTGGTGAATAATTGTTAAAAAATTTAGATAATATTAARAACATTATTTATTTCGATCAACAATTCTTTAAAAAAACACTAAGAAAATATTAAGAACAGTGAATGGTGACTAGCCAACAACTAAAAATCTATTTATTTTCTAATAATTATTTAACCTAAAAAAAATTCACTTCAAGTTTTTCTCCAAAGACATCTTCATTATTAAATTTTTCGAAATTTTGCAGTTTCCTGAAAACACTATTTTATTTTAGGCCGCAAAAAATATTTATAGTATAAGTTAAAACACTTTCATAAATCTGCACAATATTTTTTATACACTTGCGCTGCTCTTACCCATTTTGTTTAGAATGAGAACAATTTGGTGTTGGAATTGACGGTCAACCACTAAATAAACGCGCTGTTCGCAAACGATCGGATAAGCGCGACTGTCGAAACACGTGTCTAGATGACTCTTGTTCGCGACTTGGAGATCTACTAACTTTGCAAATTGATTTTATTTGTTTTAATAAAATACTAGTCTTCGACTACTCAACGAACCGGTGTACGCATGCGCAGAATTCACACATTCAAATCATATAATATTATAAAAATTTTTAATACTTAAGTATTTCTCCACTTGTTGTCAAGTAGTGTTAGACACTTAAACCGCGCACGCGATAGATTATAGTAACCCAGTTTAGTGGCGTTGAGGTGTTGTGGGTAATAAGAGCTACGGAGTCAGCACATCCAAGGCATACCGAATCACAGCAATAACTATCACAGACTAACTAAACTATTCGCAATGAGTTTGATTTTACTAATGTGACTTACTCGAGCAAGCAGCATACTCAATTCAAATCGTGTCTTCAAGTGTCCACCTTCAATTCGTTATATAAAGGGGAGTATTAACAATTGAAACGGTTCAATTTGCAGCCATCTTCACTTGTCGTTGAGTACGTTCTCATGTATATGTGAAGTATGTACATAGTTGAATTTGAATGCTTTCACCATTAAGATACAATAAAATATTCCAATATATAATGTATGCGCTTAGCAGGTTCGATGTGTCTGTTATGTTGCCGCAATGCGTGATTAGATGAATGCAAATACTCGTAATGATGATAAGGGTATTGTATTGCTCACACCCTGCTGGAATAAATGAAACAATCAGTTCAAAATATATGGTAATTCTCTTTAATTAATCATATTTCTATTAAAATGCAATATTCTTTAGAAATTGTCTACGCAGATGAGGAGGTTTTAAGGGCTATACTAGTAAAGAATTAAAATAAATTCAATGTTTTCATATATCGATAGTTTAGACAAATGCTCTCTCAAGAGCATTTTTCAAAATTCAAATTCTCTTTAAAGTTATAACCAGTTTGAGCGGACAAAGGACCATAAAATTTGCGCAGAACCTTTTTCTCGGAAACTCGTAACGTCGACTCATCATATGTGACCTGGTCCACGGAAAATCTAAAAAATCAATTTTCACTTTTTAGTTGATTCGGATGGAAGATGAGATTTTTAACATTAATTTTTTTTATTTTTTTTTTTTTGCACGTTAGTCCCCTTTTCGTAGACCAGGTCACATATGTTCTCATCGTCCATCCCTCTGCACCATATATCAGGACGTGAATGATGAGTGACTTGTAAAGTTTGATCTTGGTCGTCGACTTTACCTCCCAATTGCCTACTCAGTTCGAAGTAGCACCTGTTGGCTAAAGTTATTCTTCGTTGCATTTCGTTGCTAACGTTGTTGTTGGTGTTATATGGTTCCAAGATAGACAAAATTTTCTACAACTTTGAAGCTATGAGAGTCAAGAGTGCGTGAGAGCCAAGCCGCGAGTGCGGCGGCTGTTTATTTGATGACAGGAGATATTTCGTCTTGCCATCGTTCACTACCGAACCCATTTTCTTCGCTTCCTTATGCAGTCTAGAGAAAGCAGAACTGCATGCGGTTCTTTGGGCCAATGATATTAATATAATCGGCTTACTCAAATACTTCATCGATATCTGAAGAGAGAGAGAGAGTGATAGTCCCTTAGACATTTTCAATCGCAACAATGTCCCTGAACAAAGTGTGAGTCTTTTGGAGAATTAGAAGTATGAAGCTTGTACCTACATGGTGGCTTTTCATTTTACCTGTGTGTGTGTGGATATGTATGTAAATATATACGTATGTTTTAAAATTATTCGCAGTATGCCAACATTTCATAAACCAGTTGCTGGTAGTTTCAAAAGTCATGGGCATTTGGTCACTTGTTAGTGGAGTTGAAGCATTTTACAAGTAATTGATCTAAAATGTGCTGAATTTGAGATAAATTTTCTTAAGAAATCGTTGCATTGTGTCATATTTGTGCAAAAGATTTAAGAAAAAGGAGGTGATTAAGTTTAAATAAAATTAAAAGAATTACTAAGCTTAAAGTTAGTTAGAAGTCTTAAAGTAATTCAAGTTAGTTTCAAAACGAATGCGATAAAAAATAAAAATTTCGAAAGCTGCTTGTAAGAATTGCCGCAGTTTTTGTAGTCATAAAAAAGCTACAGTAACTGAGAGAGCACAAGAAGGTTAAAAAGTGAAAACATAACAAAATTGTCCAGCACAATGATACCATCTACTTCAATTTGACCCGTACAGATAAAGAAATAGCACTTCCACATCTTAATTGTCATTAAAATAGGCTCCTGAGCCAATACAAACATGACAACACCTTGTTCAATACGTGTTCGGATACCCTCCACTGCCTTTGGCGAATATGTTAATATTGTTAATTTCCGGTTTCGACTCATATTTAAAGCGCTATTTGCTAGATTCTTGGACAATTTCGACATCATATTCGATAATTGAATCCATAAAAAATGTTGGGTTCCTTGGCTATCTCTCTGATGACAGCAAGACGATTTTCAAGCATGCCAACGATGCTATTTTCTATTCTATCTTCATTAACAGAAGTGGATGGACGACTCGTATAAGGCAAGTTTAGATGACTTCATGGCTTTCATTGAATGCTTTGTGGCATTCAAATACTTGGAAAACAGCTTTTAAACACACACTAAGAACTGTTTCCTCAATGTCTTAACTTAACTGTTAGATGCCTACTAGCTTGAGATTGAAAAAAACAGCTCTAATTGACATTTAGAGATCGTACTTCACAGGAACATAAAAAAGGTTGTGTCAATCTAAGGAAAACCCCGAAAACTCCGGGTCAAATTTAATCAGATGGTAAATTAAAAGAAACAATGTTAACAGTCTGACTCTCCAAGTGCTTAAATTCAGAAACGGTTAGCAATCAAAAGCATGCTAACAGATTTTTGTACTATTTAGAACGCAATTGCTTAGATAGAAATGATACAACAAATTACGAAAAAAACTACAAATTCTGATTATAGCACAAATTCATTCCTGACATGAAAAACCCATGAATCGTTTATGGATAATTTCTTTCTAGGGATCATCGCCTGAAAATCTAACAASAGTTTATGTGTTTAAATCTTATTAATATTAATATTAACGTTAATGGAATAACCTTCGTAACATGCTTAACTAAAATTACGCTTAAGGCTACTTAAGCTCTTCAATGATTTCGGCGCAATTACACAGACAAGTGTCCTCACAAATGCTAATGCATATGTTTGCAGTACACCTGTTAATTAAGAAACTGCGTATTCGCCTAAATCAATAAATTTAACGAAATGCTTAACTACAAGTGTCGCTTTAAAATCCACTTGGCTTTTCATACAACTTAACATGGAATTAAATAGTGTCTGGTTTTAGCTAGTATAATTGTTTAAAATTACAAATCATCGAATCTATTGCAACTAATCCTTTAGAAGTACAAGTTGTAGCTATTCGTATATAAAATTATGCTTTTATGTAATTAAATGACAACATTGAACTTTATTTAGTTTTATATTCTACTCATCAAGTACATAGTTGTGCTGGCTAATTAAAGCTCATCCGGAGTAGGTGCTCGAGAATGTACTAGTGAATTATGCATGTGATGTTCACATGCGCAGCACGTGTGATATACATATGTACTATATGCACTTAGGGTGCCATTTTTAGTAATTACGATGCATTATTATAATATTGCTTCTGTAAAAAATTAAGTTATCGCTAAGTCTGGTATACACTTTGGAAAAACTCTCGAGAAGCAATCTCAAGCTATCGTTTATTTTTAGTTTCATGTTTCATAGTTTAATAGGAAATTGCCGCTGATGATGTATTTTGGTCAAAAATACTGTTAAACTTTTCCGAAACGTGCCTTTTCTTTATTTTTATACCCTGAACGGGAAGCCAAGTTTGTAACACACAGACGGCAACTGCGGATATCCTATCCAATTTAGTCAGTCTGTCTGTCTGTCTATATGTATGAACGCGAACCAATTGTCAGTTTATGAGATATCAATCTGAAATTTCGCACATGTCCTTTTCTCCACAAGAAGTAGTTTATTTGTCGGAACCGCCGATATCGGATCACTATAGCCTACATCTGTTACAAACTGATCGAACCTAATAAAGTTTTCGTTTGGAAAACTTTTCTATTTGAAAAGATATCTTTATGTAATTTAGTTCCAAACTCGAAGATGCAAGTTTTTAGCGCAACATTATAAAAATAATTATGTACACATCGTCACCTGAAATGCAAAATAACATAACAACATTTTCGGAAATTTACAGTGGCATGAATGAAACACGAAATAAAATGGAAAATGAGTGAAAAAAATTTAATATTGGTTAAAACTGTTTATATCTGAGCGTAGAACCTGAAAATGTTGAACATATGTAATATTATGTATGTAATTTGAAGTAGTGAAGCGTAATCAATAAAGCACTCAATTTCGAATTTTTTGATGATACGTTATTTTGCATTTCACGTGACGATATATTCCTTAATTGTATATCAAAATACGCTTTATACTTACCTTGGCGACTGTGAATTAGAACTCAATGATTTTCCCGACCATCTCAATATTGCATCAACACTGACCAATGCTCTGATTGCATTGCCTTTATCAAAAGCGTGCTAAAGTACTAATGTACTTACAAACGTATCAAGGTAGTATATCTAAGTATTTTCATGCATATAGTATATTTAGTATGGCACACGTAAGTGTACTTAAGCCGGAGTCAACTGAAACTTTCCATATTTAATTCATAACGCAGGGCAACAAAAGACGTGAACCCGAACAATCTGTTGTTTATGTTTCCATAATGTCATTGTGGACTTCACACATATTTTTGTATGTAAATGTTTCTGGGATAATTCCATTGCAAATGAGTTGATCAACGCTCCTCGAGTTTAGTCAAACATAAGTTGCATTTTTTTCGTTTTATTGCGTTGCTTTGACGTGATTGTTGTCGGTATTATTTAATATATTTTTTGTAGTATAGTATATAATATAGTAGACGTGAACGGTGTTGACAATGTCGCCTCCTTCAGTGACAATTATGGGGAGATGCAACCGATTGAGTTGCTGCACCCAGGCATGTATGTGCAAGCGCTTCCATAAGTGTATGTGTGTTTTAGAGATGGATGCGGCATTAAATATTCAGTGCTGATCCCGAAAATTTGTAGTCTGCGTCCCGATATCTATTATGTGATTATTTCTTGTTCGTATTAAAATAAAAAAAGGGTAAATTTCACGTACTATTTTGGAGAATATTCTCTGGTTTTTTGGAATTTGAGGATTTTGTCGGGGGTTTCATAATGTCGAGAAAAAGTTATAAAGATCTGTCAGGACAGCCCAGACAAAAATTTTAACATTAGCTCCTTTGGTTCAACGAGTCTAGATCTCGATCCTGTCTATTTTATTTTATAATCCCTACTGCTGGAAATTGGCAAAAAATAGGTATTATTTTCAAATGAAATGAAAGGTTCAATAGGCTTGGGCTTCGATACTAAACGAAGTTTTAGATAATGCGACTCCCTATCGTGCGACTTCAATCTACTGCGGGAGAAAATAATTCGAACTGCAGCGCACAATACAGAAGGCACAATCAAGAAATTAGAAAAGTGTACAGCTGCTGGCGTACGTCAATGATATTCATCTCCAGACTGGATAAGGAAGGGAAGCATATGGGTCTGGTTGTGAATGCGGTCAAGACGAAATATCTCCTGTCATCAAACAAACAGTCGTCGCACGCGCGACTTGGCTCCCACTAAAAAACGCTGCCCCGACACCAGTTTCAGACCCCCAGCCTCTTAGGTAAAGTTGTTCTTAATGATCCGTAGAGCATTTCCCGCATACATATGTGACTTTCCGGTTTTTTAGCTCCCTGTAAATCAACCCGCTCTAATGTATATGCTTGCAGTAAATACATAAATAGAACTTAGAACTAAGAACAGACTAAGTAACAAACATAATTAGAAATATCTAGATTTTTTTGTTTAATTGGAGGTGCTAAGATTAAAATAACTTTGTGATAAGAAAGAAGTAATTTTTGGCACACTTTATAAATTTTGTATGCGGCTCAGCATTAAGAGCTTTAAGTGATAGGTTATAGCTGTTGTTGTACAAAGTCTAATGTTTGCGTAGTTTAAGATAAGTATAGTGTTAAGCATATAATAAGCTCGTGTAATTTCACAGTTTCCAGATATTTTTATAAACTCACTCATTCTGTGCCAAAGTGTATTAGTTTCGAACTCGACCATTGAGTTCATAAGCTTTATAAAAATACATATTATATACATATATACATAAATTGTATCCTATGGCTCCATGAGGGAGCGAAGGGCCACGGGGGCCTCTTTCATTTATTTCGATATTATGTTATTGCAGTTTCTTGCGTCAAAACTAATTGTCATGTCATAATACGAAGTCAGAAAATCTACGTGCCATTAAACATACATATATCGCCTGCATAGTCTAGGTCTTCATGCCGTTTATTTATACCATAGTTTATTTCGTTAATTTCACGTAGCTTTTTTCATTACTTCATCAAGATCGGGAAGGGCCTCTCCGAGTCGTTCGATACGATGCGGGGTTTCACACAAGGAAACTCTCTATCGTGTGACTTCTTCAATCTATATCTGAAGAAAATAATACGAGCTGCAGGGTTTAATTGAGAAGAGAAGAGACAGTCTTTTATATGAGTGTCTAGCTGCTGGCGTGCGCCGATAATATTGATATAATTGACCTCAACTTTTTTTCTTGAGACTGGATAAGGAAGCGTAACGTATGGGTCTGGTCGACGAACTTGTGATAATTCCGTCCATCTTGGAACAAGCATTACCACCAAAAACAACGTCAGCCTCGAAATCCAACGCCGAATAACTCTTACCAAAAGGTGCTACTTCGGACTGAATAGGCAATTGAGAAGTAAAGTCCTCTCTCGATGAACAAAGACATAACTCTATAAGACACTCATTATTCCTGTACTGCTATATGGTGCAGAGGCATGGACGATGACAACATCTGATGAGTCGGCGTTACAATGGAAAGGTTTCAACCTTCGGTCGGCGGTTACAGCAGTCGAAAGAACGATGAGCTGCACGAGACACACGACGATCCTGACATAGTTCAGGGAATTAGGAAACAGCGACTACGCTTGATAGGTCATGTCATATATTCGACGCAGTATCTGACGGCAGAAGCAGGGGAAGAGGTAGACCTACAACTTTTCATCCGCCTTTTTTTTTTTGTAAATTTAAGGCCTTATTGTATAAAAACGGTCCAAAGTGTTTTCCCTTATTCCGTCAACAAGCAATGCTTAATTAACACACGAAATGCTTTATGATCCATTTTTTTGTAAACTAACACAAGTTGCTTTACAAAAATTCCATATTTTTTTAATACCTAATAGAAACCATATAGATGGTAGTAGTGGAGTAATAGTATTATCTATGTATGTGTCAGCCTCAGTAAAGCGAGGACGGGTCCTCAGCAGCACTTTTCTCGGAATTAAGAAAGAAAACCAAAATTTCCCGCAAATGTCGAGAATTCGGCTCAAAAAGTGACATTTTCAGTTGAGGATAAGTTTGGGATGCAAACAGATCTCTACAAATAATTTGTTGTGTTAATGTTGAACAAAAGTCCAAGATCGATATAAAATGATTTAATCGGTTTAATCGACCACTACGTCATTAGCACTAAATTTCCCAATTTAGGGAATGACCTCTTATTAAGCGATGTCATAATTGGTTAATGGATCTGTCACTGTCCACCTTTAGAGGAAACTGTCTCTCCCAGAGACTACTCGATCAATTTCGGCCACATATATCTTTTATTGTGTCAAGTATCTTGATAAAACTCAGAGTCCATCTTTCTCTTGTTATTATATGTCGTGGGATTAAAAAAGGATAGAATCGTGTGAATACCACCACACATTCAAATATGAATATAATTAAACACTGCTTTTATTTTATTAAATTTTTTGCTTTATTTGTAGTTTCATTCAATATATTTTATCTAAAAACACGCATTTCACACGATCTCAATAAGCACCATAAAATTAAAAACCAAAAATTAAATAAAACACTTTCATACAAAATACTAATTAAATATTCACTCATACAAACGCAGACGCACACATAGAATCACAATTTATTATAACAGTATTTCATTCATCCCTAATAGTAGTTGCGAAGTTAAGTATGCTATCCGCATTTAAGTCGCAATTTAGAATAAGAATTAACACACAACTTAGCACATTTATGCCTCATCCAAAACGGGCTTAGCAGGGGGCGCCAAAGTTCGGCGTGGTATCAGTAGAGCTAGGAAGGCGCAGACATACAAGGCAATACAAGCGGTGTAGAAAGTCAGTTCGCAGTTTTTAGCCAGTATCGCACCCACAATATTAGCGCCCACAACACTGCCCAAACGACCGAACATCAGCGAGACGCATATTGCCATGGCACTGTAGGAAAACTTTTAATTGAAAAACATTCTTAAGGAGTTGCTGATGACTTAGTCTTACCGCATTTGTGTGGGATAAAGCTCAACTGTGGCAGCGCCCAAAACATTTATTGCCACGCCTACCAAAAAGAAGAGCACATACAGATACGCCGCTATCGATGGATCGACCACAAAGACTGCAGCAAGGCCACATGAGGTGAAGAATATTGTTGAAATAACTGTGAATTGTAGACAATCGAAAAATGTTAGTGTGAGTTAGAAGGTTATAGAGTTGTTTCCCAATACTTACAAAGTATAGTTATCTTGCCGACTCGGTTGATCACCAAGCCAATAAAGGCAAACGAGGAAGCGTACAAGATCTCCATGATTAAAGAGTAAAAATATGTTGTGTTCTCTAATTTAGCAACGCATTCCATTGTCTGAAAAAATGAAGAGTTGCCATTAGATATTGCAAGAGTATAAAAAACTTGGTTGGCAACTGTGAATTTGGTTTTATTTTCCAGATATTTGTACTTACACCATCCGACTTATATAAGCTCTCATGTTTGTCGTAGACAATTTGGCAGATCTGTTTGTGTTCGCCTGGGTGGCCGTTCATGAACTCGACCATGGAGTTGATGATATGCGGGAACCACATATACATGCCGTTCGTCACCACATACAACCAGAATTGCATATTGCAAACGATCAATGTGATGCGTATATATTGTTTGTGGAATAATGGCACAGTCTGGTTCCACATGCTCTTCAGAAAGGCGGTAGCAAAATTCTCCTTCGAAGCCGATTGATTGTTTAGCTGCATCATAGAGCCGGGTGTCTCCTCCTCCGGTAGGATGTGTTTTAACTAGATAAAGTGAAAATAATTATTTTTTAAGCTCAAACAATAAAGCACCACCACTTACTTTTAGATCCTGAGTGCCGCCGTTCCAACGTTGCATCTTTTGCAAGACCTCAATGGCTTTCGCCTCTCTGCCATGCGCCAAAAGGAATTTCGGACTTTCAGGCAAAGCGAACATGGATAGACCACAAAGCATGCCCGGTATACCGCATACGATTAAAAAGAAACGCCAAGGCTTATAATCAATGCCCAAGAAAGGCAAGGGCAAGACCCAGTCTTGATTGATGACAAGGAAGGCAATCATTGGCAAGATCATCGCGCCGATTGCGAAGATAAATGAGCTGCCCATCATCGCGCGCGAACGTGTCTTATCTGTGTGGAACTCGCCGAGGTAGGCATAAATTGTAGCCGAACCGCCAGAGACGCTGTAAAAAACAATTAGAAGAAATAAAAAATGTTAATTTGTTGAAGTATGCTCAGAGATACCAAAAATATAAACCAAAAGCAAACTTACAAAAATCCATTGATGAACCGCAACAACACCATCACCCAAAATGTGTGCGAAAAACTTGAGAATAGTGTGACGATAAAGCCAGCCAACAATGTCGGCCTAATAACGCGTCTGCGTCCCTTTGTGTCGGCCAAAAAGCCCCACAGATGTGAGCTTGTTATGATACCAGCAAAACTAATGGCACTCAAGACGCCCTTATCCTGATTCGTTAGATTTAAGTCACATTGTGCAATTGGCAAGATAAAACCCATAGCTGCCGTCTCCAATAGCACATTGGCCAAAACCATGCCAGATATGAAGATGAGGAAGTAATTGAATTTACCGAAACCTATGAATGGTGTCCAATTAATATGAAGCATGATGGCGGTATTCACTAAAAATGAATACTAAGCGTCAAATGGTACTTACCGGTAAGTGATAAAGCTTCTGAAAATGAAATGGCCCCATGTTTACGATTTACCTTAACGGGTTCTGTATGTATAATTGAAAGTACTGGAATAAGGTGGGAAATTTTTTTGTAAATTAATTTTTCATGTTCGACAAAATTTCTGGATATGGACGACTTACACATAAGTACATACAGATTATGTATGAATATGCATGTATGCAGTATGGGAGTTTTTGCGATGGGATGAGGATATTGCTGTTCAAGGGCACTTACATTTTGTTAAAAAGTCTGTTGTCATTATTTTTTTTTTTGTTTTTATAATTTCTTACTATTTTTTTCTTTTTTATTGTTTTTCTTCCACATTCATATTCAAACAATTTATTTTTGCTTACACTTTTTTAATTATTTAAATTGAATTTTATATATATGTACATAGTGTTTGATATAAAAAGTTAATTTTGGTTTCTATATAAAATCTTAATGGTAAATGGTATTGGTGTGCAGTATGTGTGATGTGATGAGTCAATAAAATTAATTTTGGTTACTTAAATTAATTTTAAATAATAAATAAAATGCACTGAATGTATATTATATATTTTTTGTCTAGCAGATACTTATACATAATTCTTAGTAATTATTTTTTTTATAAATAAATATGAATTTTCTATTAAAACATATTTTTCTTTGTATAAAGTTCTTAAAACGATAAGTCAAAGCTTTTTTTTAAATTAAAAATTAAAAATAATTATATGTATACAATTATAGAATATTAAAATCAAAGACTTCTTTAATGAAATATTAAAAATATTTATTTCTATACGATTACATAATTTTTTTTTTTGCTAAAATTATAAAAATTTACGAAACATTTAATTATTAATTAAATATATATAAATATCCTATGAAATAATCTTACCCATTTTTTATATAGCTTTGTATTTGCTAAAATAATAAATTTTTTACTATTTTAATGAATATTTTCTCCTCGCGAAATTTTCAATTTACGCATAAATGAATTTAAATAAAAAATAACAAGGCTTATTTTGAGCACTAATTAAACGCTAAATTTAAAAGTCTTTAGAATTTTTGTACTGTCTAACCTTCACACCTCTAAGTTACTAATGGCAGTTAAGAAAGTAACCATCTATTTAAACCTTTTCGCCCACTCAACACAAAGTATATATGAACGTACATACATAGATGGGTGCAAATATACAGAAGCTATCTTGTGCCGCAAATTTAAGAACTAAGAAATGTGACATTTTTATGACATTTGTAGACATAAAATTGAATTATTCTACATGCACTTATGTATACACGACAAATAATTGCATTTATTTATATTCAAAGGATGATGTGTATTTTCTATACCTTTTGGTTTGATCTTCACACCACGTAGGTATGTACAAGTTGCTAAACCTGCACAATGTCAGAGTGAAACTTACAGTATCTAGTCACCGAAGCATGTTCGCCTTGTACTTTGGTATTTGAATATAAATAATCTTTTCTTCTAAGCAGGTGACAAAAAATACACGCTAAAATAATAAGACGAGTGGGGTTGGTTGATATATGTATGTAATTATATCGTCACCTAAAATACAAAACAACGTAATATCGCTCTTTATAAGTTGGCAGGTGAAGGAAAAACGGTATAATAAAAGCCACTCAAATCGAAAAAAAAATTAGTGTTGGTTATAAAATGGTTATAGTTAATGAAAGTTACAAATATTTATACTTTTAAATATTCGGCGATATTTTCTATTTTTAGTATATGTTTCATATTATTTAATAAACGTACTTTTGGGTAAAATTAAAATATATATTATTTTAAAGTTAAATTAATTAATTTTTTATACTATTTATAAAAATAAAACAAAAAAATACTTTGTATTAATTTTCAGAAATAAAATGTTCTAAGAAATTATGCATACATTGCATAATTTAAATCAAATAAAATAATGTAAATGTACATAATGAATAATTTCAGGTTTATGTTAAGAGAGGAATGTTGTTTAGAATGTGATAACATTCTGTAACCCAGTAAACGGACATTGAAAATTTATTAATTCAACAGTATGATCTGTTCCCAAATGATTTTGGAAATTTTTAAAAATTTTGTTTTTAATTTTAATATAAAATATTAACTTTTTTAAAGCAGCGTGCCGGAGATGAAACGTTCATCCACATTAAACATTAACTCTGACTTAATTTCAAATTATTATTATTTGAAAGTAATAATATTTCCAAAAATAAAATTTTTTTGTGTCGGGCATAGTTTCATGCACATCTACTGTATATTTACGACGCCAACGGCTTAAGGAAATTTTATATATATACCAACAGCTGATCTACGAATACAGATGAAATGTTATTTTTATTTTTAAAACTAAAGAGACAAATTAAAACCACAAAAATAAATTGTACATACATATATTCATACATATATAAATACATAGTACGTATATGTACATATGTAAAAATATGTTTCTAGAAATATTTCTATGCCTTTACATTTGTTATGCAGGTTTCTTAAGTCTCTTTACGGCGAATAAGCTATGAGCAAACACAACGCTATACTTTATGGGTGGAAAGCAGTGGTATTAGGCGTGTTTTGCCCCTTTTTATATTGCTTGTTTTTTGAAACGCCAGTTATCACAAATTATGTTACATATGTACATGGATATATATGTACAGCTGGCGGTTATACCGTATACCGTTTGCACTTTCCATATTTGTGCTGTTGTCATGTTTTTATTTCGGTAAATAATTATAAATAGCCGTTAGTTTGAAAAGAAAAGTTAAACCGGCTTCTGTCAGATAAGCGCTTTGTGTAATTTGGGGTTGAAGGTATAAAGCGTGGGAACTCGGTGGATGGTATAAACAAATTTTGTTGTTCTTAAATGAATTATAACGTATTTGTGTACAACCACATAGCGCTATCTTTTTAGCATGACGCGTAGTGATAGTTACTCATTTTTCACATCTAGCAGCTTGAGAGTTGCCGTTAACAGTGTTAGTGTAATTGTTGATACATTTAAATGTTAAAATTTGAAATATTTTAAGAGAGTGTTGAAGTTATTTTATAAAAATTTAAATTTGTAGAAAAAAATAACAAAAGGTACACAAATTATAAGAAAACAACAACAAAACTCGAACATTTTCGAATTTTCAAGAAATTACTGATATGCCATTTTTTAAGAATGCAATTTCAGAATTGCTTAATATTTATCAAAACTGATGATTTTGAGTTTTTATATCCTATACATTTACTCTCTATGACCATTAAAATATGAACGAAACTATTTTTTTGTCCCTTTTACAAAGATGAAATGGACACGTGGAATTAACACTGTCTAAAGTCACCAAAGCACTCATGATATGCAGACGCCTATCTGCCAAATCATGGTGCTGCAAGCCAGGTTCTCCGAGCATCCTTCAAGCAGAAGTCTTTGCAATAAATCAGCGTGCAGAAATCAATCTCTCTTTTTAGCGCTAGTGAACCGGCACTAAAGACGATCTCAGCTTATGACGTTAAATCTCTTTTAGTGGAGGAGAGTATAGGAAGGCTGAATCGCCTATCAATTTGGAACCGTGTACACTTGATCTGGGTGCCCGGGCATAAAGGTCTGGCCGACGAACTAGCTCACTCTACAGCAGCATTTAGAATGATAGGACCGACATAGGGCATAGGAGTTGTTCCGCACGGAGGAGAGAGTGCCGAGAGAACGCCACTGCCAGCAGGTAGCAGGAATGCGTCACGCAAAGGTACTACTGTAAAGATACAACCTTGTAAGGTTTAAAGATATAATCACTGAAGGCTCAGGAAGCACTTGTCCAACATGGACATAGTCTCTTGCAAACTGTCGGTTTTGTGACAAGAGATAGGAAAAGGAAGATAATTAATAAATAAAAATTTATTTTTTCGTTCAAAATTACGCTGCTAAATATTGTAAAATATATTTAAAGGCATTCAATGGCTGCATACGCACTAACAGAAACATATTCCAACAGCAGATTTACATAGGTATGTTTGAATTTAAATTAACATATACCAGAATGTAAATTCTTAAAGCATAATTGTGGGTGCAATCAAATATTTGGTATTTTCAGAGGCGGAATACAATACATGTATGCGTATATGTATCACGACAGGAAATACTTGAACTACATACATATGTATGTACATACACATGTACATGCACCTATGCAGAGTAAAATTCACTTGGATTTGTGAGAATTTAATTTCATTAATAAATTATTGCACTAAATATTCAATATTGCACTGAGATATAATATAAAAAAAAACTACAAATATTTCCAAAAACCAAAAAATATAAAAAAATAAACATTGTCTAGTAAATTATTAATATTCCCCATAAAGAATTTATACATGTGTTATTTAAAATAAATTCTTACAAAATGTTATTTAACAGAATAAAATTTAAACACTGTTAATTAGAGAAAGCGTGTTAAAAAACATGACATTAACATGAACAATTTTAAAGCCTGCATTTAGGCGAACAATAATTGCTAGCAAATAAACCGATTGAAATCGCAAAGAGAAAAAAGTGAGAAAATGCCGAGACAAACAAGAGAATAACTGATAAATTAATTACATTAAATAAACTTATCTTTATATTATCAAGAATGTATGTAAACATTTATTATTAAATACTTCATGTATGCTTTAATACATTTATATAGATATATTGAGTATGTATGTACATATGTATATATGTTATGGCATTTTAATATTCAGTGTTGAGCATGAATGCAAGTGAAATAGACATTCATATCATAACATACATTTAGGAGCGGGGTATTAGTACAGTAGTTAATGGATAATACGAAATTTTGAGTTATCATTTGAATCATATTATAATAGTAATATAAAATAAACTTGCGCACAAACTGTTTTTTTTTTTTTTTTTGTAGATTTTAGAGAATGGTTTTAATTATAAATAAGCTCATATACATATGTACATATATAAAACGACAAACTAAAATCTGATATATTTTTAATGAAAATGTTCTTTCTCACCTATTCTCTATAACTGTATACCGCTTTAAAACTGTACTTTAAATGACACTATTTATTCACTGT